TATCTTGTGAATAATAATCTGACACCCATCCAGGGATCTGCCTATGACACCAAAACAGGATAACTAATCAGGAGTGTAATATATACTATAGATTGTATATGCTGTCCAACCATAGACTGAAGGTACGCTATGCCCTAGACATATAGGGAATAAGCCTGTTATGTTTGATTCTCAAACATGTGCAAAGTCAACGGAGATATCTTTTTTGAATAACTGGAATGCTTCCACACCATGCGTGCATACCACGCGACACACACGTTGTTCTTGACGCGACATCTGGCGGTCATATATCATGACATCTCCCTTCTTTATTGAAAATAAACATTTCCTGTGTGAGTGCTTCATAGGCATGCACTAGAAGTGTATATGTAAATCAAAATCAAACATAACAAAGCCAAGCGAATACTCACGTACGTACTCACTGCCTGCTTAATCTTTGCCCTTACCTTGTAGCTGCGCTGAGGTGATCATGACAGAGGAGAGGCGGTTAGCGAGTGACATACGTGCTTGACGTGCTTGTGTGGCACATCGCGCTTGGGGGGAGGGGTAGTGTAGCATCTTCTGATGTGTGTTCAACAGTGCGATCGCTCGCAGCACAAACGCAGCGCCACTTGAACGACACCGAGCTATGCACCGAGCGCTCGCTTTATCCAAGATGGCGGCTTCCTCAGCAGATTTCATCGCGAGATTTTAATGTCTTCGAACAAATACTGTTAAACGAATTAGCAGACGAAATTGACATGAATTGAATTCAGAAGTAAATGAATGATAGAAAAATGAAATGAAGTTGAAACAGAGTGAAATTGAAGTCAAGTGTTAGATTCGCATTCACCAGATTGCCCGTCGCCATCTTGAAAACAACTCGCGCTCGACCGCGCGGTGTCATTTCAGAAGGCAAGCGCACGGGAGCGTTCGCGCTGTTGAACATGCATCTGGTGATGGTTATGGTGAATAGATAAGCAGATTATTGTAGATAAAGTTGACAATATTCATTCTGCGTTGCATTATATTATGGTTGTGGTGGTACTACTACTGACACCTGGTGGTAGAAAACATAAACATCAGATACATTACTGAACGTGACAGGTAGGTCTGTGTGCTGCAGCCGCATCAGCTGCGGTCGGCTCTGCGGCGGAGTGTAGTAGAAGGTTTCCTCATCACTCTCCGTCACGTCTAGCTGAGCGACCACGGAAGATCTGCTAGCCAGCTTCCTCGAGCGTTTCGCAGGACTGCCACTCTTTTCTTCACTGCCACGCTTCTACAACACGAGCAACGTCGAGAATATTTTAAATGCTGTATACGCCTTCTTTTTCGCGTACAGATGTTTAATTTTGCGGTCAGTGAATTATGAATTATTCGTTATTATTTGGTATGAATTATTCACATGTTGTTATTTTCGCGTCGGAGACGCGTTAGCGAAATTCGCAAAAATTAAACCACCGCAAAATATACATCTTATACAGTAGGTCAGAACAAAGGCAATCTTAATACATCCCAGCGATTGTTAAAAACGGACACAATGTACGACATCTATCTAATAAGATAACTATCGAGAATACACAGATATGATCAATCATGATCATGATAATCAAACACTAGTTTCTGCATCGGGATTAATTGATTAATCAGTTGATTAAAGGGAGAGTACTCCAGGTTCTAGGGTTATTTTCAGCTAATTTTGGTTATAATTTCTCTACATAAAAAGTTTCATGGTTCAATCACCACTAGAAATATTTTTAAAAATTGTTTTAAAACTAACGACTACAGTTTGATTACAACGACGGTGGCGCCACTCAAAGGGTGTTGCTATCCCCCGGGCGTGGAGGGAGGTCACGTGATAACGTTGACGATGACGTTCAAAACATTAACCCTAACGGTAACTCTAACTACAAGACCTCCAACACTAACCCTACACTAAATATATATATGTCGCGCAGCGCTATATATAGGCATTGTTATCCACACAAATTAATCTATGGTGTGGGACAGATATCATGATGCAAAAACCCTAACCCTAACGCTAACCCTAATCCTAACCCTAACCCTAACCCTAACCCTAACCCTAATCCTAACCCTAATCCTAACCCTAATCCTAAACCCTAACCTAACCCTAACCCTGACCCTAACCCTAATCCTAACACTATCCTAACACTAGTGCTGCCCACTGCGGCTCACCTCCTCTACGCCCGGGGGATAGCATTACCCCCACTCAAAGCGCACAATCTGATAAGTTGCGCAAAACCACTTTCCAGCCAAGGGCTACAGACCGAGGGTGTTTCTTATTTATTTATTTAAAAGCAAAATGATTGTAATATCTTATATACGACATATAGTTTCAGTTATTTGCCCTGAAATGAATATCGTTCGGTTAAATAGCATTTAGGTATAAATATAATTGCACTTTTGTGATTAGCCCTCGGTCTGTAACGTGCAAAATAAATTGTGAAATACGCAACTTTTTCGGGGTGGCAGCACGGTCGCGGGTGTTATGGCGCCGTTCAAATTTCGTAGCGTTGATGTGTAATTAATTATAACAATTAAATTAGATATCTGGTAACAAATACGTGGGGGTATAGACGATTTGTTATACAGTAAATAGAGTTGTATGCAGTGAAATCCTAGAGGCTACTGTCCCTTTAATTGATCAACCCAAGGTAATTGATGTACGCATAATTGTATACGTAATTGGTAAATGTATAGGTAATTGATGCATGTACGTATAATTGAGGAAAGATACGTACGTGTGATTGTTACACATCGCAGTCGATAAACGACAATCAGACCTTTGCTCAAATGACAAAGAGTTGGAAAGGTGTAGATTGTTTGTCAGAAATGATATGAATTTTTGAATTTTTCTATGAAACATGCTGAAGACGTCAGGTATCGCCGCTTCCGAGACGGAGCTTCGGGCTTCTACACAGCCGAGGAAAGTAAGGCCATGATGTCTATAGATGGCCCCACTTTCCCTGTCTTCACGTTCCGACAGCTGTCAGGAGAATAACAACAATAATAATAGGATTTTAAAAAAAAATATACCAAGATGGGAATAAAACAGCGAGATATAAAAGAATAAAAGCTCCCTGGAGCTCCCGGTTAGAAAGTGTGGCGACGTGTGACCCCCATAGAAATAATATAGATAACCATATCAGGTTATCTATATTATTTTTATGGTGACCCCACTCCGTACGTGGATGTGGCTGAGATTGCCCCTGCCTATATAAAATTGCTGTTTATGATTTTTTCTGATTTTTTGTTTTATTCATGGACCTTTTCGTTTATTATTTCATAGCAAGTTTTTGTTTATTCGTGAGAATTTGTTATTCTTTTTTGTTATACTTGTATATACTTAGTATTATAGGTTTACTATATAGTACACTTAATACTTATATATTACTTGTATAGGGTCAGGGTTAGGGTTAGGATTAGGGTTAGGGTTAGGGTTAGGGTTAAGGTTTTTGCATCATGATATCTGTCCCCACACCATAGATTAATTTTTGTGGATCACAATGCCTATATATAGCGCGGCGACACATATATATTTAGTGTGAGGGTTAGTGTTGGCGGTGTTGGAGTGAGGGTTACCGTTAGTGTTAACGTTTTGAACGTCATCGTCAACGTTATCACGTGACCTCCCTCCACGCCCGGGGGATAGCAACACCCGTGTGCGTGTACCCCGTGACTTGATCATCGTATAGAATGACATCACTCGTATCGTCCATAGCTTCGTCGAATGAAAAGTTTTCTCAACACTGATTGACAAGTCGAGGGAATTCGCACTGACATGCTATACTGCCGCAACTGTGACGTGATTGTCAACCCCAAACTCATCCCGATAACTTATAGCTGGCGAATGTAGGGGGTAGCGGTGGATTTGGTTGCTATAACCACCAGAGCACGTATATTTATATGTACGTGCTCTGCTACCCATCCTATACAAATAGATGTGAAACCTTTATATAGAATAGAAAAAGGGTTTGTGTCTCTTATATCGGACCTATGGGCTACCCAACCCCTATATTGGCCTGTCAATGTTTTCATAAACGGGGGAAATGGTATCGCACCCAAGTCTCTCTCCCCGCTCTCTCTCTATATATATANTATATATATATATACACACACACACACACACACATATATATATATACATATAAACGCACACACACGCACACGCACACGCAACTTGGAGAAATGTGTCATACTGGCACGGGTAACGATCATGGCCGCCACCTGTGACTATGGATTGGCCTTCCAGGAAGTGATCAGCCAGGTGCAAGGCATAGGCCGCTGCGTCCCGCGAGAAGCATACACGGATGAGCTGGTCCCACGTAATCCCTCATCGCAACATCCACCATCACACACACACATACGACGTCACCCACACCACCACACACACACACACCACACACAGCACACACACGCCCCACACACAACCCACACACACACACAGAGACAATCGCCACTCTATACGCAACGCCCCTCCCCCCACCACCGCACGCAACATGCCAACACACACACACCACGCCACCACATAACACACACGCACGCACACACACACAATACCAACAACAACAAACACACACACACACACCAAGAGAGAAGAAGAACAATCAGCCCAATCTCATGGTGCGCGACACGCCCCCCACACACACGCACACACACACGCCAGCACACACACGCACACACCCCAATACAACGCAACCACACGACACAGACACTCGCCACTCTCCACAGCGCACAAACATCGCCCTACGCGCTTTGCTTCGTCGACTCGCATGTCGCGGGTGCGATTTGAGCGTCAGTCACGCAGCCTATACCTTGTCTTAGTCGTAAGGCTCAGCTTGTTGCTCTCATGTGGGGACGCGCGTNGAGAGAGAGAGAGAGAGAGAGAGAGAGAAGAGAGAGAGAGAGAGAGAGGGACAGACACAGACAAAGGGGGAAAAAGATAAAGACAAAGCCAGAGAGAGGGGAGAGAGAGATAGAGACAGAGCCAGAGAGAGGGGAGAGAAAGAGAAAGAGAGATAGAGACAGAGCCAAAGAGAAAGAAAGAGATAGAGAGCGCCAGATAGAGAGATAGAGAAGGAAAAGCAGAGAATAATACGGAGGGAGAGATAAGAGGCGGGAGAAAGAACTTTATCTAATAGACTATTTAGCCTACACTGTAGCTTGGAATTTCATCCTGTAGATTTCACATGGCCAGTTGACACAACCCTGGTGTGACATTCCGATCTATAGAATGGATGGATGTCCGAAATGCTTTTTTCTCATAAAAATATTACAAGTTGAAATCCACATTAACTCGCTCAACTGCATTTGCGTTCGGAGAGAAGAGGATATATATCTGTATATACGGCTCGTTGTTTCCACGTACATATCCATACATTCTCATCTCTAGAAGGGATAGATGTAAATAATAAGACAACCCAAGGTTATATATATATATATATATATACAGGCCCGTAGTCAGGGGGAGTTCGGGCGATTTCACATGGCCAGTTGACACAACCCTGGTGGGACATTCCGATCTATAGAATGGATGGATGTCCGAAATGCTTTTTTTCTCTTAAAAATATTACAAGTTGAAATCCACATTAACTCGCTCAACTGCATTTGCGTCCGCAGAAAAGAGGGTATATATCTGTCTATACGGCTCGTTGTTTCTACGTACATAGCCATACATTCTCATCTCTAGAAGGGATGGATGTAAATAATAAGACAACCCAAGGTTATATATATATATATACAGGCCCGTAGCCAGGGGGAGTTCGGGCGATTTCACATGGCCAGTTGACACAACCCTGGTGTGACATTCCGATCTATAGAATGGATGGATGTCCGAAATGCTTTTTTCTCTTAAAAATATTATAAGTTGAAATCCACATTAACTCGCTCAACTACATTTGCGTCCGCAGAAAGGAGGATATATATCTGTATATACGGCTCGTT